GAAAATACTTAAGTTGCTTACCGGTACTAAATTCTGCCAAATACAGTATCTATCAGTTTACTAGTCGTGCTTTAATTTTGGTTCGTCCAAAGAGTCTACATGTGTTATTTACTATATCAGTTATCCGAATAATACAATTACAACATGTTAAAGAAAATTTACGGTACTTGCATATTTTGAAAGACATTGTGACAATTATTTTGTTATCACAAAGTGTCAATAGTTTCATTACTTAAGACACTGTCTTCGAATCAAAACTTGATGCGTGATACATTAGTTTCTCAATTTCTTTTGTGGAATGAAACGAACCATTTTTACATCGCAATAAATGTTAAAACTAAAAATTTTCTTTTAAGTATCCCTCGCAAAAACGCTCATAAATCTTCATATAGGAAATCATACTGAAAGCTCCGGTTTAAAACATAGTTCTACGTTAGTAATGTTGTATAGCATATGTTTATGTGCGCTAGTTTCTCAACGCATTATTATTCACTATTTCATAACTCAACTATTTTCTGTTGATAAATATACCTAGAAATAGCTAACACACACATTATCAGACATAAATATGACTCAAACCAGAGTTTCAAAACTCAAAGAAATATTTAATCAACAAAACATTCGTACAAGCAACATCTTATCGCATTCCTGAGACCTGAGCACAGCAACGTCATGTACGAAATAATCTTGCAGCCTTAGTATTACTGAATTTATATGCAAAATATTGAAACAAAATACAATACAATAAATAGAAAACATAGCCTTATATACATTTCGAAATATAAATATACAGTACAACATAAACAATTTTATTATTACTCTGTGTACTCATTTTTAGTACGTTGTTATTAGATTTTGTCCTAGTAAAATTAAGTTGCATTATGATCGAACGTTTTACTAAGTCAAACTTATAGAACGACTTAGGGTAGAAAATATAAATTTGGACAATAGTGCATTCTGTGACTGGCTTGCACAACTATTATGTTCGTTTTTTGAAAAAAAAAAAATAGCGACAGCTGGTCCAGATGGGATGTATACTTCAGTATCCAATAGTCAATGCACGCAATAGTCAATAGCCAATAGTCAATAGTGTGCCAATAGTCAATGGTCACTTAGACGCAGGACAACCTATGTAACATTTCAGAAAAAAAAACCTTTGACTCGAAATTACGGTTTTTTTTCTCTCAAAAACTGATTCAGTTTACTGTCTAAAATTAGGAATAACTTTACTAATCATGTAATTTAGTATTAAGGCTGGGTATGATGAGAAATCGCTCACCTAACAACAGGTCGCTGGTTCGAACCTAAGAAAATGTAATTCTGAGTACTTTTTATTGGGCTAAATGGCCCAGTCAAAAGTAGCATCTGGTCCATTGGTACCTCCATTGAATATATAACACTCTCGCGTTAGGCTATATATTCAATGGTACCTCTCTCAATTTTACACTTATCGCCCTTTAATATTTAGCAATACGCAACTGAATGTGCGTTAGTCTTAAAGTAATGAAATAAAGCATTCTTAAATATTACATCAATTTGATTAACAGTGGTTAGTCACAACCAGGACTGACTAAACCCCATAGCCCATGTTGGAAGGTGCCTGTGGAGTCTTCCGAGACTGTTTTCCTCGCCACGGTCACTCACAACCTACACGGTGGGTGACTCATTCCCGCCCGTGTAAACGTGACGTCACTGGCGGAGGTTGCAATGTCTACACACTACACGACCTGCAGCTTGGCCTTAACTAGCTATTGATTCTACATTACAGTCAGCTGGGTAGAGAGTGTAATTCAAGATGGTTGACCTTGGGTAATTGTTCTAGATGTGTTAGTGACGTAATTGTAACTATTGGAAACAATAGAAGTCATTATCTTTATCGATATGAACACACATAGATAGATGCGTCTTTAGAGTACAATATGAATGCGAGGGGGTTTTAGAATAGTGTGAGATGTTTATTTTTTGTTCTTTTTAGGGTCAAACTTGGACAAAACGTTGGATATTACAGTAAAGCCTTTTGAGCTCAGGTAAATGGAAATTTTTATAACGGTGGTTAAGAAGCAACTGGCAAACATAACTTACACTTTCTATAGAAAAGATAACCAATCATACAATTTAGTTTTCGTAGGTTTTTCGCCGTGGGTCATTTCATTTAGGCACAGCTAATAATGTAAAACTATTTAGTGATTTTGGCCTGGCAGTCACAAAAACAGTCATGGCTATAAAAATCACTGTCACCTTTTTTAGCATGTGACAAGTCAACCTATGTCTACGCCTAAAACAATTTACAACTGCTAATATTTATGAAGGAAATTTTTTTGATCACCGGAATTTGTCAACATAAATCAACAAGAGAAATTAAACAGATAACAGCAAAAATCATTGAAAAAAAAATGAAAATCTGAATTAATAATAGCAGCCTTTTTTCAATATCTTTACAGACCTTTACAGAGAGACCAAAGTTGATTTGCAAACTAAATTTAAAAATGTTTAGACTATGTTGTTCTTGTCCCCCCTTATAATTAGAATGTTGTCTTTATAAACTGGAAGACTTTAAAAATAGACGCAAGAATTATTGTTTACTTTGATATGTAAGTTGTATGAGTTTGTTATAACGTAAAATATCCGGTGGGGCACACGGAAGATTTCTCAGGTGCCGTTTGACGTCACTAATTGCTGACGTCACTAACTGCTGCGTCTGAAGAAACAGACAATTTTATAATTTTCTATTATTAAATTAAACTGTCATAACCTAACCAAACTAACCAAACGTGCTGATAATGGAAAAATCGAATAAAGGTTTAATAATCTAAAAAATATCTTTGTTAATAAAATAAAATTATAATTGCCTAAAATTCAATTTTATAATTTTTAATTATAAAATTAAACTGTCATAACCTAACCAAACCAACCAAACTTGCTGATATGAAAAAATTGTTGATAAAAAGTTAATGCCGTCGGCGGGATTCGAACCCAGAACAGTCTGATTATAAGCCCGCGACGCTATCCACTGCACCACCGAGGCCGATGACTTATTACGTATCGTTTTAAGGAGTTTTAATGAATGTTTACCCTTTAAGTAGAAGCATATGATTAATCGTTAGTAATTTTATAATGTTGCCAATTTTGTTAAAACATCAACATAAAAAAATGAAATCGCATAGACAAATCTGCGCATTTGTGTGTTAATTATCTTAGCTGTGTTTTTGTTTCTGATTGTTTTTGTTGTTCAAATTCCATGTCTAATCCTTCAAAAGTAAAAAAATACGAAACATATAAATGGAAGCTCTGTTTATATGTATTTACTAAGATGGCAAATTATTAACAGTAATACGAGCTGCTATACTCGTGCTTTGCAATGGAAAGAAAATGTGACCTAGGCAGCCACTAAAGTGTATATAAGTGGTGCTGATGTGTATTTAAAAATACCCCCGCCGCAGCAAACCTGCCGACTAAGCGAATTTCCATTTGTCTGAATTGATTTTCAGTTAAATATATTTTAATAACATTAGGTTTAACGAGTACCTAGGTTTGCTGAGCAAGGAAACTAATAAAGTGTGTTTTTGAGTAAAATATTGATAGCTTAGTACAAAATAAATAAATTTGCCAAGTTTGATCAAAATATATCCATAAACAAGCAAACTACAACGTTTGACAATATTCACCATAAGAATAACATGGGAATTTTAAATTTACAATTTTTTTAATTTTCTCCGTTACTAATAATCGAACAAAAATACTTTTATATACTAAATTATTTGTTTTTTTAAGCTCTTTAAAAAGGTCTTAAGAGAAATCGGGAAATTTTGTGTTTTGAGGGTCAAAAGTGAGAAAAACCAATTTTTACCCCATAAAACCCCCCGTAAAGCCCTGTTCCCATGGTCCGATCGTGCTGGTTCGCGAACTCATTCAAGTTTATCCCGCTTTACACCTTTAAACCAAATTTCATCAAAATCGGACAAAAATTACTCAAGTTATCGCGTTCACGGACGTATATATATATATAAGTCTATATATATATACAGTATATTTTATATATACATATATAAAAAATTGAACGAACGGTGTTTCTGGCCTCTGGGGACATCAAAATGAAAAAGTAAATCGGTCCCGGGTCTAGGTCTTACCGTGCCACCTACGGTAATAGCTACTTCCCTATAGGGAAATTCGCTAATACAGCAACTCTATGATTTAATTTGGAAAGATAAACTAATTAAAAGTGTCCTACTTACTTTCTAAACCTAACTTTTGATGTCGATAGGTCCAAAAGAATGTGACAACATACCTTAATTGTAGCAATAACATCCATAATAGTACTTGGTATTGGTATTGATGCTTCATGGATGAAATGTTTTAGCCTACCATCTTCAATTTTATTCAAGCCTCTTTACATGTAGTTTACTACATATATAAATTACAAAGGGAACTGTGAGCAATACCTTACAAAACCTGTACTACCATTCTACCTTTCTTTAACCAAACATGACCCTCTTACTAAATGTAATAATGCACATAAAAATGTCCTCAATCCAAATAAACAAACATCTTTTTCGAGTAAATAAACAAACACCAGTTGAACAGCTGTTTCATTAAATAAATTAAATTAAATCATTACTTTTGAACGATGTTAGACGGAGCCCTTTGGAAATCGGTCTGTGGGTCAGTGCCCCTAGGAAATTTGTCCATACCAATAATTTTCTGCAAACAACTCTAAGCTTCATTTTAAAAAGGCAAACGAACCATAGCAGATTGTTTAAATTCAATTTACCTCACAATTAACAGGACATGTTTTATTAATTTCATACAGTTCGAAACCGACGAGGAAATCTTCTCCACCTGTCTCTAAATGTTACTCTTGGAATAGGCTACAAATTCTGAATTCCACTAACCCTCTAAGTAGGAAACACTAAATTTACCTCAGCTAAATATTAACATACGCTATTGCATGTCGTAAACTAAGAAAACACAATCTAAATCATAACATTTTTGTCTGTACTTACAGAAATGCGCGGAACGTAGACGACCTGCTGGTGTACACGACTACACTAACACTAACAGATGGTAACTGAAAACAGCTGATCATGCATCGCATTGTTGTGACTTGATATAGTAGTTGTGATATGGCAGTTACAGAGCCACGTTAAAATAACTTGCGATATTTGCTCCCAACGTTCAAGATTGACATTGTTCAGATTTCAAGTCACTAATAAATTTTACTACTGGATTTATTGCGAAATTTATTCATCATATGCTGAATAATAAATTGTATTTTAAAAAATAGTTTAAAATTAATTTGCCTGATGCTAAACTGAACGCAATTGATATAGCTATCTGCTAAGAGCTGCTTAAACATATCTTTAGTGTAGTTTATTATTTTTGTATGAACAAATACTATGCTATGCTAGTATATTCAGGAACTACAAAAGCTTAATTAGGTGGTTATATTGTAATGAGATATTTTTACCCAAACGATTTTTTCGAACCTTTAATTGACTTAATGCTATAAAACATGTTATTAAGTGATTCTTGTTAATGAACCGGTATGAACTTTGATCTTATAACATAATTTTTGACCTGGTTTAAAATTAAAATTGCTTTAATTTGGATTGATTCAAATTGTATTTACAAAAGTCAAAGATTTGTTAAAAAAACACAAAATATAAACGTATAATTTTTAGGTTGCTTATTACAAATGTTTAGCACTTAATATGATTATCCACAAAGTAAAAAAAAAATTAAATCATTGATTAATTAAATTGAAACTTAAACGTTTTCCACCATGTGTTTTGAGAGTAGGCCTATAATCGACTTAATCTACGGGGTGGATTAACTGTGAAATGTATGGAGTAGAAAGCCACTAACCATAACCCTACTTAATTGAAACCGATAACAAAAACTTTGGGTTACGTGTATTTTGGCCATAAAATTATATATATATATATATTGAAAATTGACCTCAGTAGATGCATGTTGGTAGGTGGAGGGTCCGAGGGTGGACTGGACATAATTGTAGTATCGATGTCTCCACTGCCACCTTGACCGCCAAGTGTATAATGCATGCACCAGGCAATAAATAGGTTGTACTTGAAAAGTTAATAAAACCGATACAGTACTTGCAACACACCTTTCAGTATCCAGTACCACCTGCTAACACCAATATTAGAACACAAACAAATTACGTCACTGGTCCAAATGCCTAAACTGATATCTCTGATAGCTGGTTTGACAGTTTCATTTAAATATAAAAATCATGTTTACTTTCGGACCAGTGGCATAATTTGCTTATGTTTATAATCCATGCCGTTTCTGTTTTGTGGTCACTACTCATATCACTATCATACAGTGTTTTGATAATTATTTTCAGATCTAGGCTTATTTCGTTTGTTGAAATTGGAGGGGTTGAGCGCAGTTGGACGAATTTTATTTTGTGTAACATTATTGGTCATTTCTAAGTTTTTTGATGGATCGGCTCATTGCCTATCTAACGTGGTTTTGTTAGGTGGCATAATTATTCGATGGCACGGTTACAAATTAAAGCAAGGTCCAGAATAGAACACGAGGACTTGAAACCTTCAGATTTAAAAGCGAGCATTATAACATCTCGATTATCCAGATAATTCAGACTTAAATCATAAGCATTTTGTCCTGGGGCCCCGGGCTCAAATCTTGTCAATCATCAATAAAGTAGGTGTTTGATAATGTCACAATACCGTGGTTCGGGGTATAGATCCACCTTCCTAAACTACACGAATAAATGGGTATTTTAGGGAAGGATGAATTTCTCAGTGTTCTGGAGATATATTTAACAAGAACCATTAATGTGTGTGATGTAATGATATAATGTTATTTTACAATCATTGGCATAACTGTAAAAAACCTTTAGCCGTCAACTGGATCAATGATTAGTGGATCAAAACATGCTTAAAATTGTACAATATGATAAGGAGAAGTGATAAATGTGTTTTGTGAGTTTCAAAGGCTTTTCACTGTGCACAATTCATTACTAACACCACTAACACTATTGAAATTTGAAAAATGTTTAATCCCCCGACAAAATTCCTTTTTTCAGTATTTCTCTTTTAAAAAACTTAACTTAAGGGTTGTAATGAATTTGTAAATGTAATTAAAATAGGAAAATGTTGTTGAGGAACTGTTTCTGATCCACGCCATAAATTTGCCCAACAACCTTGTATGTCTACTTTATATTTAACAGCTCTATAAAGTCTACAGTGAGGGCTGGCCCTACTTAAGTTGACCTTATCCTAGATACACGCTTGCTCACGCTAGTGCGGCATTTTACACTGAATAACAAGTGAATCTTGAAACAACATTATTTTAGTTTGAACTATGTAGTAAAACTGTAAGTGCCTATTTTCGAGTATACCTAGGTATTTTAATGAGCCAGATAAACTTTTCTCGGGCACTTTTAGGCAAGGGAGTAACAAGAAAACATCCCCAGGTCCTACTCAATAGAATAGTACATAGAATTTGAACTTATTTCTTGTAAAAAAATACTTCAAAAATAGGCAGATATATAAACCAAATATACATAACATAACATATCCAAACTTATGACTCAGGCTAACCTATTTATAATTTTAAACTAATTTCATTGTAAACTGAATTATTTTTAATTTGTATAAACCATCCTGTAAATGGTACAAACATTGACTATAAACCTCCTAATTATCGAGAGTTGTATAGCATATTATGTGCTCTATGAGCCATACCCTCGTACAATTTATTGCTCTACATTCTGGAACTTAATGCAATAAAACAGCTGTTTCTGCCAACACGTCCAATGTAAACATTTCCTTACATGTACACAAACTGTAACTACACTAAAGTCAACATAACAATGCATTCTACCAAACGCTAAATTTTATGAGTAAATTAATATCAGTGAATAAAACAACTAACCATGGGTAACTGTTACTGTTGTAAAATTTGGACTTGCCCTTCCAACGAAAGGCTCGGGAACAACGAAATACAAGAGGACATGGGTAACTGTAACTGTTACTGTTGTAATATTTGGACTTGCCCTTCCAACGAAAGCCTCGGGAACAACGAGATACAAGAGGACAAAATGGGGGGAGGAGATTGCAAAAAAACACAGAATCATTTAAACACGAACAATTGGCAAAGAAGGTTTACATTATTAAGAGTTGTTGAGTGCAGGAGGGAGCCAGCGAGAGTGTAGGATGTTTAAGGATGGTTATATTTAACGCTCAAGTGGTTACAATTTTGAACGAGGAATGAAGTTACAGTGCAACAAACATGTATAAAAAACAGTAGGTAAATTTATTTGAAGCTGTTATTTATTTGAAGCTTAATTTATGGTTAAATTAATTTGAAGGTAAATTTATATAAAGTACGTTCTTTAAACTATTGGTACTTAGGATATAAATTTCTAAATAATACAAAACCTCTTGTAAAATAGATGTACATACGATAAGATGATGTGTATAAATTACTGTGCAATTTTTTAGTTTGTGTAATTATCAATTTAGGTTATTTGAAGATGTTAGTGCTTTCATATATTTTAAGTGATACTAGGGTGAATGATACTCGGTTCAAACCCTGGCCTTGTCACTATGGAAATTTCGACTTTTTAAATACTGTAGTAAATTTGAGAACTAATTAATTATCCATTCCAAGAATAGTTCAGGGATAGTATAGTGGCCAAAATACGCAGTAATGTAAACATACAATAAAAACATTTCATATTGAATAAATTATGGTGACTCGGTTAGAAGTATGGGCTTATTTGGTCCTTAAAGGTACATATACCGAAAGTACATATGTATGTTTATGTTCTCAGGGTTGACACCTGCCTTCCATTTGGGCAGGTGATAAAGATTGATAAAAATTTTGTATGTTATAGTCTTTAAATTCTGAACGAAATTGTACAAATCCCATTTCCGTATATTTACTCTCACCGCTTTCACATGATAAAGGTTGTTGACAAGCTTATGGGAGAAAGTATGTGTCTGAATGCTGATAGGCTACCTTTTATTAAATCATAATTTCATATTACTACCCATAGATTAGTTATGATGTTTTCTAATCCAGAGGTAACTACTACGGTACCTATCTAAATTATAACTTTTGACACTTCCTGTAGATTTCACATTCTATTCTAATAATGAATAACTTTTTACGAGCGTTCCATGGTCATTTACATGTACATCTCCAACCAAGTTCCTCTTAACTTAACCGACCCTTGACATAAACATTGTTTGAATGACGTTAAATTTCCTAATTCTAAGCTGATATACAAATATTTCAATTTAAAAACAACAATAAAAAACTAAGTTGTATATGCACTTGCCTTTAGTGCATGAATAAATAGTAGGAGCTATAATAGTAGGGCTAAGTATGTTTCCGTTTGTTTTGTAGTAAGAGTGTTAATGTTTTTGTTTGTTCACATAATATATAATGAGATATTTTTATAATCTATGCTTAGTGAGCAATGCTTTTTAGATAGAAGATCACATGTTTCATTTAATTCAAACCGTAATATATTTGTTTTATTGTCTAAAAATGTTTTTTTTTATTTGTTAAAAGTTTTTGATAGGTACATTTATTGGAATTTAATCTTATTTTACTCTTTTTTTCATGTCAGATTGCAAAAAGCACCATTTAAACATACATCAACCGATCAACCCCGGACGAAGGACGGGTCCTCTGCTAGTCACCAATAAAGTAGGTGTTTGATAATGTCACAATACCGTGGTTCGGGGTATAGATCCACCTTCCTAAACTACACGAATAAATGGGTATTTTAGGGAAGGATGAATTTCTCAGTGTTCTGGAGATATATTTAACGAGAACCATTACAATTGTGTGTAATGTAATGATATAATGTTATTTTACAATCATTGGCATAACTGTAAAAAACCTTTAGCCGTCAACTGGATCAATGATTAGTGGATCAAAACATGCTGAAAATTGTACAATATGATTAGGAGAAGTAATAAATGTGTTTTGTGAGTTTCAGAGGCTTTCCACAGTGCACAATTCATTGCTAACACTATTG